CACAGCACCAATCCTGCAGACACATCACTCTTGTAACTGAAATATTTTTAACCTTTGGCCTCTCCCTCTGCCCTAGAGGCACTTCAGTCAATACAGGCACTTCTCACACACCTCCAGAGACTAAAGGACCAGGATTATGGCGATAGGTAAACACACATCACACTACAGAACTAAAAATGGCTGCATCAGTTGTACATCCACTCGAACTGGGCGGTGAACGCTTCATGCAATCCATGGGCTGTAAAAAATGCCCTACACTGTAATCAGATAACGCACCGATTTAACTCAAAAGAGACGCCTATATCACACACCCAAATCGAACTGTACAAGCACACAAACTCGATTATTTTAAATAAGTTATTATATAAAAGTGACAGCTACATAAAGCAGCCAGCGATGGGGAAGAAGCACTGGTACAGCCTAAAGCTGACAAAGAGCGATCAGTAGAAATCATCGTTTAAAGGCGTGAGCTGCCTTCAATACAAGGGGAGCTGATAGACGTGCTACTGTATGATACTGCTTCGCTCCCTCCTTCTTCTGGTCGGTGCTACTCGTTTCCACCTCCTGTTTCGAAAATGAGCATCCAATAAAGGCAAAATGGTTTTTTAGGCTGAAAGTTGAAATAAAAGGAGGATCAGCTCTTCAGTCTGCAAAATGAACTTAACTACGGCAAAAGCTTTCAATAATGAAGAAAATATACGATTCGCATTAGTGCGGCGATGAGAAAAAGTCCTCGAATTACCTATTGCCGCTAATAGTAACGCTCCTCTGATAATAGTGAAAACAAGATAGGCGGTTGGAGGCAAAAATGATAACTTACCGCACTGATGACATTTTAAAATCACTAGGAAGAGCGTCAATAACGGTGGCAAAGTTATCACAATGAAGCAGAAGGACCAGAATGTGACAGATCAATTTGTCCCGCAGTATCGGTGTCATCAGCCTAGAGAAGAAACAGAGTCAAATCATTCTGGCGCTCATATTTGTATTGAGCCAGAGAGTGGTTTACCTAGACTTGGAGCGTTCATTCCCAGACCTGGATGCAAATACAGTAAACTCATTTAGAAGATGGTTCGCCAAAGGATGAGGAGTGTCTGGAAGTGGTGTTCGACGCTGTAACTCTCTGGGTTTAAGCTGAAACATCTTGATCATATGTCCCAACAGAGCTAAATGTGTAGCCATTCCCAATCTTGTAACAGGTCGATCTGTACTATTCCGGGATTTCCGTTTTCGTTTGGTGCCTGAGCCCGACTGATCCACAGAGTCAGGATTGTCGATCGGAAGGAAAGGTAGCCTATCAACAATGAGACGGGGATAAGTGCCTTCCGTCAGCCACTGATTACGTACGCTTTCGTCGGCATCAGAAAGGGCTTTCGCCTCCTTAGCTAGACAAGAGGCTAGTGCAGGGGGCACAATTTTTTGAATCGGAAAGATCTGAGCAACAGATAGCGTTTTTTGGTCAAAGGGGGGCAATACTAGTTCATGCTGGGTTACTTTATCACCATTTATACCGCTCTTCATCTCAGACTGACCTATAGGACAAATACAAGAGATAAAGCAAAAATATTGGTTTCCAATTTGTGATAGCAAAATATCAGAGATAAAGCAAAATACCCAATTTTTCCTTATCGTTCGCCAACGCTGTTTGTCCACAAGCAACTTTTTGTAGAACCGTAGCGTCGCTAACAGCAGAGGTGTGAGCCAATGATTGATCCAGGTCACGGAGATACTTTTTGCTCCACACCGATCCAAACGTTTGTGTCAAGGCATGCGGCTACAGAAGCAAAAATGAATGTGAAAGCAACTCACATCAAGCGTCGAAGAACGGGTGGCTGCGTCATTGACAACTTCAACATCTAAAGCAATTCAAAGAATAAAAACACAAACCAAACTTCGGAGATAAGAATTCCGGTAGATTATAGGATATTTCCATCTTCCTCATTTTTTTGTTGTAGATAACAGTGACATAACTAAACGAATAACAAAAGCGCAGGATATCCACGAAACATACCGTAAGAGTGATAACTCAAGAACATGAACATAGACCACCATCCACATGAAAATTCATGATGAATAAAAACATACCTGCGATCCTTACCACTTAAAGAGGTATTGGTATACCTAATTCCTTTAACGTTGCAACTCTAAGTAGGAACAGTTATCTCAGGTGCATTTAATTACGATTTGACGACCTGAGGTAGAGCTTCCACCAGACACTTGCACTTGAATGATTTCATCTGGATCTGCTCTGCTTGTCCCCAATGAAAAAGGACCTAAATTAAATTAGACCAAAAGCCGACGTACAGGGAGTAAGATCCATCACCATGAGAAATTCAAAAATTGTGCCACAAACGCAGTCACCTGATTGGTTGGAGTTTAGGTGCTTAAATATCCCAATCATTGTTTAATCAACAAAAAGGATAAAAATATATAGCAATTAAACTTCTCGCTTAAAGGAAATAGTTTTGGCAATGTTATTAGTCTTAATTATCTTAAATTGCAATTTCCGTGCTGCTGAGCAAAAATTTCGATTGTAAAGCCTCGTGGAGGGCCATAATCAATGACATGTACAACATTGAGATCAATTCTAGC